CTGGTTTCCCAAGTCTTCGCTCACCTTCTAAGGAACCGGGCCTGGAAGATCGCAGTAGTTAGGGTTAATCGGCGTAGCCTTAACAACCTTTTGCGATAGGCATGCCTTGGTTGGAGGGAACCTCGCAGCTCACCGATTCTAACATTTACGAATCGAAACGGGGAAGCAACGAGAACTTGCGACTTATGACAGCTCAGATGAGTGTGCTCGAACTGCTAGAAGAAACAGATGGGACCAGGCCTTTGCCACATACAGGAAAGTTACGCCAGGTCGATCTGGAATGTGCTTTAACTCAGGCTTTAATAAGGCTTGTTTTGGGTGCATGCAAATAGGCATGGAAAAGGGTGGGGAAACTTCCTCACTTTGGGCACGAGTATACGCACTCTACCCCATATTACAGGTGGCCTCGCGGTAAATTCCAGGGAAGATTATGGCCACCTTAAGGGTTGGGGTAACTTAAGGGTTAGGTTAGGTTTGAGTCAGAAAAGTTAGTGTTGGAGTTAGAGTTATAGGAGTTTAGTATTATGATTACGGTTAGGGTTAGTGTTAAAGTAAAGACACAAAAATAGGTACCCCTGAAATTTAATGTAAGATCACTTGCAGTGCGGCGGGTATTTATAACAGGGTCCAACTCAACCGCTTAGATCAAAAACAAATCAGTTCAGAGTCTCCAGACATGCATTATAGTGTGCGCATTTGTGTTTGTACAAGCAGGATCGGCCTTTTTCGTCTGTACATGAATTTTACGCTCTGGCATATCCGGGACTCTACCCTTATTAAAAAGAAGCTACCCAAACTAGCTTAACGCCTCCAATACACAGCCTCGAGTTTACCCCAATCTGCTGCGCTCCAGCGTCCAATGCGCCTTTTGTTTTCTTATACGTACTAACTAAGATGACTGTCCTCAGACATTTTTTTCAAAAGAGCCTAAGTTTATACGCGACTATTTCTGGTAGAAATAGCGCTTAAACGGACTGATAAATAAAAACAGTTGTACACAAATTCAACCCTCCAAAATGCTGGACCATAATTCCCTTGTGACAAAGACTCGCACACTGGAAAACAAACCCTACTCAATTAGCCTTTCAGATTCGTAACCAAG